AGGCCTATTTCAAAGGATTCACTCATAAAAACTGGTCAACTGGTTAAAGTTATGTTGGATTGGACTGATAAAGAACACAAATTATATGATTCCAGCTACTTAAAGGATGTTCCTGAGGTTCACAAGACCAAGCTTACTGTGAAGAAAACTCGACAAGAAGCTATCTCTTTATTTTCATGCTTGGATGCATTTTTAAATGAGGAACCTTTAGGGCCTGATGACATGTGGTAGAACACTTTTAATGCTTTTGACCAGCTGAATTGCATATTTTCAGAGCAATTCACCTCAAGTATTACTGCCTCATTTTTTGTTGTTTCAAAATTTCAATGTAGGTACTGCCCTCGTAAAATTTGTGGGTAGGGAGGATGCATCAACATTTTAAACTAGAAAAATTCAGCCTTCCCATTGGAAACATATTCTGTCTATACAAAAACCACATGCTACAGAAACAAATTACAATACGAAAATTTCCTACATTTATGCTAATTATAACCATGCTTATAAGTTATATCAATATAAACGTGACAAAGCTGCTTCTGAAATGGGTATTGAATCCCGTATAGATTATAAATTTCTTGAACATCATTACATTTCAAGTTCTAAACAGTGGAAATAAGTTGGAGAGGAAGCGATAGAGAGATTGAGGATGTTAATGATCAAAGGCTATGGTATATAAAGCTTCAAGATAAACACTGTCACATCTTTATGTAGACAGCTGGGGAAAAAAAACGGCAATTTTAATGTAAGAAGTAAACAAAATAAGCCTATCAAGTACATGGCAACAATGTTTTATTGATCATGAAGTATTTGGAGTATTTGGAAATGCCAACAATAACTTGAGGCTTCTGATCTCATTTACAACAATTGAAAAAATAAGACTGTCAACACAGCAACCGACTGCCTTCCACTGGTTCTATCATACAACCACCTCAAACAAGACTCTTCGTAACCAATAAAATAAACCATAGTGCAAATTAAGTATGATTAATATTGCAATAAAATTAGTACAAAAGCTAACAACATTCGAACTTACTCATATCCAGGATAAGATAAAAGCAATATTAAGAGGGTGAAATAGTATAGAAAAGATATCTGTAAAGACACAAAATTAAATAGTAACTGAACAACCAAACATAGCAAGCTTGTGAAAATCAAACATGTGAATTTTAAAAACAAAAGTTCAACAAAAGTAATTTTCTCAGGGGAAAAAATTAACACAATCAACCATAAAAATACTAATTTTAAGTAACAGAATCATTGTTAAGCTTTAAGATATAAAGATGCTTTGAGATATATAAAATTATCAATAATTAAATGAAACTATGATCGTTTGTGAAGATCATGAAGATCATTGTTGAATGTTTTAAATGAATGTTTAAGCCTTGATGTTCTTTAATATATTCTTCCTATCTATTTGGGGTGCATAGGCACTAATTACATTAATTATACTTTCTCCATTACAAGTTTAATTAGCATTATTATGTCTTCTATTTTTGTTATCTGTTTAGTTTCTTGTAAACATGCTATATTAATTTTCCTTCTAATCATAGTATCTACTAATACCAGTCTTACTTGTTAGTGTACAAACATACCAAGTTGCCAATTTAAACCAACAACTCTGGTCTAACTTCTTTACCCACGATCATCTAGGAAAGTGCAGGGACCCTTCCCAATTTTTCATTACACTTGATCACCGACGCAATGCCCCTTGCCCATTTTTTTGAAGTGCCTGAGCAGGTGCAGCTCATTGCTTACAGAGAATGCCCCTATCCTTAATGCAAGAACACCCTAGCCCTTAGAAACATGAAATCTATCCTTAGAAGCCTAAGCCAGGGGCCATTGCTTAGAGAAAAAGAAACAAAATATTAAATGAAATAATTACTCTCTCAATTCAAGAGATCAACAGTTGTCTCCATATTTAAAGCGGGAAAAGATGTCTTTCTGGTTGAAGAAGAAATTGGAGAGAGAGAGAGAGAGAGAGAGAGGTAGGACCATATTCTTCTGCAGTTTCAGATAATCAAAGATTATTAGAAATATGTATGCAATACGACACAACGGACTCCAAATTCTGAAAATCTTTACTCTGAAATATGGAGTGGAATTCTTGAAATTGACATGAATAACTATTTTCAAAGAAAGTATCATTGGCTTGATTTTTACATGATCCTTAATTTGAAATGGGCATCCATATTCCATCAAAACAAAGTCAGCCAATACTACCATGCTTAACTGCACAAACTCTAACTAAAATATTTATCCTAACCATCAAGTTGTGCCAAAAACATGAATAACCCTTCCGGCACCAAAATGGAACTCAATTTCTGTACAACAGAACTCAATTCCATTTTGTAAAAATAAACATTGTAATTTTGCATTATTCTGATAATTGAGCTAACGATGAGATTAATAATGGAGCTAACGATGTATCTGCTTAGTGCATCTGCTTAGCTTACAATTAATCAAAACGTAAATGGGTATATTCAGATATTCTGATATACCCAATATATACAGTCTCTGCCCTACAATTAGTACTTTGCATTATTCTGATAATTGAGTCTCAATTATCCATAATCAAAATTGATTGATTGAAATTATATCAAAATATTCCACAGGAAGAGAGGCCAGAGAAGAATTAAAAAAAAACCCTAAAACTTTGGAAGAGAGAGATGAATTTTAGAGAGATAAAAGAACATTTAATCAGTTCAGTTTACAATGGAGCTAACGATGAGATTAATAATGGAGCTAACGATGTATCTGCTTAGTGCATCTGCTTAGCTTACAATTAATCAAAACGTAAATGGGTATATTCAGAATTTTCTAAAAATCAAGAACAACAATTGAAATTATAATAACACTAGGAATTCAATGTTAGGTATGAGCTGACAAAAGCAAATTAGATGAAATAAAAGGAAAATTAACAAACCAAACATAAAGATCTTCTCTATCAATTACAGTGAAGTAAATGGAATTGAGATCTGAATCAAAAGAGGGGAATTGGGTCTCTTATAGCAGAGGAAGATTAGACTGACCATTTTGCGCCAAGGAGGCCCATCACGGATCCCGTTTCGATAATTCGAACCGTTCAATGTGTTTCGATGTCGGGAGCAAGCTTTTTAATAGTTCCTATATTTTCAATTAAATCAGTATAATCAACTAGTCTCCTTCTCTGTTTAAGGTTCAGGTTTTTTTATTTTTTTATTTTTCCCCTAGTTCAAAAAATTCTTGCACTTTCAGCAAAAGTAGATAACAATCTGTTTCATTAAACATAACCTGCAATGGCAACAACAATGGCAATGGATTGGATGCCACATCTTTATCACAACCTGTTTTGAGTTTCCAGAACGTCCGGAAGGACTTCTACCACTTCTAGCCATAATCTGTTGCTTTCAATCCTCTACCACTGTTATTTTTTCTGTTTTTGTTTTTGTTTTTGTTTTTGTTGTTTTTTCAAATTTGTAGGAACCAAATAGAGAAAGAAGCAACTACCTAGCTTAGTCGTAATACTCAAATGTAGGTATCACGCAGGGTAAGAGAGAGTTTCATCTACCAAGTCAATTCTTTTATTTTTGTCACGTGCAATTATTGGGTACCAAAGTATTGTCACATGGTGCCTTCTTTGATTGAGTTTGGTTTACAGGATAGGGCTTATCGCTTATCCCATTTACATTAATGGTTTGTCTAATAGTATGAAAGGTGGCAATTAATGATTGGTGACGAGTACTATCACATAACAATGGCATGCTATACCCTTTTCTATACCCAATAATTTCTCCTTCTTCAATGTTTTTGTTCAAAGAACTAGGAATGCTTGAAAACTAAGAGCATCTCCAATAGAGATGTTAACTTTGTGTGTTATATGACAAAAAATTACAAGTGAGACCAAAACTAATATAAAAAATAAAAAATCAATCCCTATGAAACAAATTGCTTGAAATTTTTTGCACCATAGAATTATATTAAAATAGAGAATTTGTTTAGCTTAGTAAAATTTAGTATCTTACCGACACTAGATTGGGGGGCTGCCTCCCTCGGTGCCGCCATATCGACATCAAGTGGCTGTGAGTGTTGGGTATCCACATTGTCATGTAAATCCCCATTTGGAACAACAATCGCCTCGTGCGAAGGTTGAAGAGATGACTGCGCCAATCGTTTTGGTGGCATTGGTAAGCCCTAAAAAACATAATACAAAAGCATAAACAATAAATACATAAAAATGGATAAGTAAAGATATGTATATGGAAACCCATCAAGGCCACTGTTGATATTTGTAATCTGATCCAGTCCACTCCTTTTCTTCCCAAGACTGGTCCTGACAAGTGGTTGCTTTGAATATTTTTAAAATGGTCAGGTAAAGGGTGTTGTCACTCAAAAACCTGTAGGCAAGTTGAGTGGTTGAGTGGTTGTGAGCTACCAGTAGTTTTAATATCTTTAATTGGTTTTTCCTAATTGTGTGCTTTGCAAGTTGTCAATCTGGTGTTTCCAACATGGTCAAATTATGTCTTGTTTCGTTATACATTTGTATTCCAGCTAACTTACTCCTACAGTTTGTTTTGGTATGCATATTGTTGTACGTAGGATGTATATTTTCTAGTTTTATTTTATGACTTATTCATCCAATAAAGTATACGGAAATATAAAGATAGTATTAACAAAGCATCGTTAACAAATATATAGCTATCGGTGACATAATAAAAAAAAATGAATGGCCATACATATAGTACCTCATCGTCAACACTTTCAAAGGACTCAGCATCAGTGTCATCCTCATGATCTGACGGTATGTAGTCATCATCATCTACCCTAATGTTCTTGCCCTTCTGATTAACACGATTGGGCTGAGTAGAACCCATCAAAGAAGTTGCTATACGCTTCAATTGTAGAGCATCCATTTTCTTATTATTCTTCTTGATTGTCTTATACCTTTCCATTTCGTACTCTGTTCGCTTCTGTTTCGCTAGAAAACCTGGTTTGATCCATTGTTTCTCCCCTTTGGATAAGATTTATACTTTTTCTTCAATAAAAACATATGTCCATATAGAAACCTAAAAACAACAAAAACTACATATCATAATCCATATCAGGTTCCATATCAAGATCCATATCATCATCAAGTACGCCAAGTTCTTCATCTTCTTCATCATCTCTACCATCTCTCTTTGTTTTATTTGAAATAACCTCAGCTTCAATATCATCCCTATGAAATCGAATAATATCTTCAATGTTGATCGGGACAACTGAGTTAATGTTTTCTTGTTGGAATGCATCATTAAATTCTGGTTGATCTGGTGGTTCTCCATCACCAACCTCTGGCACATCAAACACACCTCTATGTTGGACCCGTTGCACGACTTGCCAAGGTTGCCCCCATTTGGTGTCATTCAGGTAGAACACTAGCTTAGCTTGACTAGGCAAGATAAAAGGGTCAGATTGATACCATCGGCTTTTGACATCGATGCTTGTGCAATATGTGTCAGCTCGTACTGTTCTACTTCTACCAGTGTTACCGGTGTTGTACCATTCACATTGAAACAAAACAACTTTATTTTGGCACATGTACTCAATTTCCCATATATTGCACAAGTGGCCGTAGAATTCGTGCATCTCTCCCTTGTAGTCCCCTTCGGTAAGCACACCATTGTTTTGACTCTTACGACGATTGTCTAATTCCTTCGTGTGGAATCTGACACCACTGATTATACAACCCGAGTACTCTTTCACTAGCAAATTAGGACCATTCGCTAAGGACCACAATTCTTCGGTTGCTTCTGGTGCCTCATCAAGTCTCAATTTATTTATCTACATCCACATGCAATGTGCAACACTTGAATTATGTTAGTAATGTTTGTATTTTATACAAGCATTGTGTTCGGCCAATTGTGAATATTAAAAATGAGTTACATATTCTTTGAACCACTTTGGAAATTCCTTCTGTTATATCTGAGTTATATCTTGTCCACTGGGAATTTGTAACAAATTCTTGTGTTCCCTACTCAAATAGTTTTGGTTAATGTGTGAAATACTACTATTATTAATGACTAATAACATGATAATTGTTAAAATATATATAATTATAAGAAACACGTACTGAAGATACTTCTCTATCTCAGGGCTATTGTATAACAAGAACCAATGAGCAATATCACGAAGTTCCTGTGACATCTCAACATGCTTTCTGATTTGGCCAATAGGACGAGCAGTTTCGGTGAATATTATCAAACCTTCACGACGGACTCCATAATCTTCATTTCGTGCATCTCGATTATGCATGGTTTCAATCCCTTCAAGATATATTGAGCAAAAAGTAATGCACTCCTTGACAATGTAAGCCTCTGCAATAGAACCTTCTGGTCGAGCTCGATTGGTGACAAACTTTTTCAAAGATCCGAGAAACCTTGAAGAGATAACCAATCAGGAGTATGGTTAGGCACACAACATAATCTATACCTTTCATTTGAAAGTACAATTTTAGAAATTACCTTTCAATCGGGTACATCCACCGATATTGCACAGGTCCTCCGAGAATAGTCTCACGTGGCAAGTGAATGGCCAAATGAACCATCACATCGAAGAAGGCTGGAGGAAAGATCTTTTCAAACTTACATAGTATGAGTACTATACGTTCCTCTAATTTCTCCATTTCACTTCGTTTCAGTGTCCTTGAGCATAGATCTTGGAAGAAGCTACCTAACTCAAAAAGTGCTGTACTGATCTCTTTATCTATGTAACCACGCATCCCAATAGGAAGAATCCGTTGTATAAGTACATGGTAGTCGTGGCTTTTCAATCCTGTTAATCTACCATTTTTTGCATTTACTGATCTCGAAATGTTTGCCGCGTACCCATCTGGATACTTGACTGATTTCAAGAATTCAAAGAAACCCTCTCTCTCTTTAGGGGTCAATGAGAAGCTGGCTCGCGGCTTCACATATGATCCATCGGGATTTGTTGTCAGCCACAATTCTTTCCTTATATTCATGTCTTCTAAATCCATTCGCACCTTATCTGTATCCTTGTTCTTTCCATCAATTCCCAACATCGTTCCAAAAACATTTTCACTAAAGTTCTTCTCCACATGCATGACATCAATGTTGTGTCGAAGCCTCCTTTTCTTCCAATACAGTAGCTCATACAAGATGCTTACCTTTGTCCAATTTGGGTTCTGACGAGGTCTTTTCCTGTTGCTTGGATGTTTTCCATATGTGACACCCGTCACGCTGCCCAATTGTTCTTCAATCTTTTCTATCGGTATCACCAAATATCTCTTCCGTTTTTCATGCTTGCCATTATATGCTCTACTCTTTCGCCTTTCTGGGTGGTCATCAGGCAAGTAGCATCGATGGTTACTGTACGCAGTCTTACTTCTTAAAGATTCAAAATATGGTTCATCATTGCAAGTGTAACAAGAGTAATGACCCTTTGTTCTCCATCCAGAAATGTCACCAAATACGGGCCAATCATGTATCGTCCACAGCAAAGCTGCACGCATGCAGAAAGTCTCACCAGTCGAGGCATCATAGGTTAATGTACCATTTTTCCATAATTCATTCAATTCTTCCACTAAAGGTCTCATGTAGACATCAATATCAATTCCTGGTTGTGATTCACCAGGAATAAGTAATGACAACATGAAAAATGGGTCCTTCATAGCCAACCACGGTGGCAAGTTGTACGGAATGAGTACGACAGGCCACAAACTATATGAGTTATTCATATTTCCGAAAGGGTTGAAACCATCAGTAGCCAACCCTAGCCTCACATTCCGAGGCTCCAAGGCAAATTCAGGATGTTGTGTATCAAATTCCTTCCACTCATCACTAACTGCAGGATGCCTCAATACACCGTCATCTAGACGTTTTTCCTTGAACCATTTCATATCCTCGGCTCTCTTCCTCGACATGTACAACCTTTTCAATCTCGGTGTTAACGGGAAGTATCGAAGAACCTTACGAGAGATCTTCTTACTTCTACCATGATTTGTCTAGTATCTAGAAGCCTTACAATTTGGACATTTATCCAATGTTGCATTCCCCTTCCAAAACAGCACACAATCGTTTACACAAGCATCAATGAGCTCGTATGACAAACCCAATTCACGTAGTATTTTTTTAGCTTCATAAGTTGACTTTGGAACCAAATTATCCTTCGGTAAAAGCTTTGTTAAAAACTCTAGCATCATGTCAACTGACTTATTACTCCAATGGTTTGTTACCTTCATATTAAGTATCTCGATGACAAATTTTAACAAAGTGTAATTTGTGCAACCTGGGTACACCTCACGTTTGGCATCATTCAATAATTTATCAAAAGTGCGAACCTCCTCCTCTTGAGTTGTATTAGTTGATTCCCCTCTTATTCGATCTTCCACTAAGGCATCAATACCTCCCAAAACCTCATTGCCCTCAACGGGTATATCATGATGATAAGCCTTGTTTGATTCACAGGGTTCCCCATGCACGTGCCAGATAGTGTAAGTTGGAATAATCCCATGTTGCAGCAAATGAATTTGAACAATTTGAAATTTTTGACGAACAACATTCACACACTTTCGACAAGGGCACAAAATTTTACCATCTCGATCGATAACCGCCATTGCAAAACGGAGAAATGATATTACCTCATCATTATATGCCCGACTTATCCTTCCATCAACTGTGCTACCTAATGCAATCCAACTCTTGTCCATGTCTAACTATGCCGAGTTAATTAAAGTTAGGTGAATAGGACAAATTTCATATAGAAAAATATATATATATATTTCAATTAAAAAAAATTTCAAGTCCAATGATGATACTGAGTTATATAAATTACAACCACACATAAATCAAGTGATAAAATAGCCAAAGCAATTTAGCGTAAACAGAAGAAGTATTCACAACCAAAACATAAAGCACAGCAAAATAACCATCAATAAGAAGACAAATATCATAAGTTAGAGAAAATTTAACCAATAAAATAGTGAGCTGAGAGTAAAAAGCAGATAACATGGCACAGAAAGAAAACCCACAATATGCCACATTGAGTTTCTAAAGCAGTCAATTTAAGTACTCAAATATCCAAATGCAAAATGATATGATTGAACTACACGTATTTGGAAAAATATATATATGCCCCGAATACCAGAATTGACAAATCTATCAACTAAATTGGGATATTGAAAAAATAAGACATTGGGAAGCAATAACTATTCTGGCTCACATTTCACTCGGTAAACAAAATGTGATTAAATTTTGCAGAGGAACTTAATAATGTACTTGAGGAGCTAGTAAAAGTAATTCAAAACATAATTACCAAATAAAGTATATAGCGTAACTTTAAACTTAATCTCACCTATTTTTTCAGCAAAAATTAAGATTTATTGATGTAAAAGAAAAGGTTATAAAAGTACACCGCAAATACAAAATGAAACTTGGGAAACAATAACTATTCTGGCTCACATTTAACTCGGTAAAGAAAATGTGATTAAATTTTGCAGAGGAACTTAATAATGTACTTGAGGAGCTATGCATATAAGAAATGAACAATGCCAATATAATTGATAGCCACATGCGACAATTCCAATGAATGCCCCGAGACTATAATTTAGTACTTAGCTTGTTATTGCAGTTAGTACTCTGTTTGATTTTCTCTTTACTGAACTATATACGAAGTGCAGAGAAGTTAAAGCAACATATGCTAATTTAAGGGTGTAATATTCCAATTGTCATTAAATTGATAGTTGTGAGAGAAAAAATAATTAATTAATATGTAATATATAATATTTTATCTTATTGATTATTTTAATATTTTTTATTTTTATTGACTATTTTAGCCAAAATCTATCATCCCAAACATCTAGAAGCCTCCAACCACTGTTCACAATCGACCAAGCAAGGTTCCCACAACGGATTTCTCATTTCTTTGCAAACCAGGTCCGAACAACATTTGGCCAAGCACCAATGCAAGATTGCAAAGGTGCGAGTGTGTGGGTTTTTTAGAAAACACAAATTGAATAATAATTTAAAAGCTTAGGTCCAAAACCTTATTTAGTTTCTTCTTCATTTTGTTTATATAGGTGATAGTTACGAAAACTTTGAAATTGTAAGGAGGTTGAGCCAACCACAAGGTTTTGGACCTGTTGAAATCAAATTGGTATTGCCCAAATTATAGTTTTTGTCAAAGAATAAAATCCCAAATTTCTTAAATTGACAAGCCACTACAGTGCATATTGGGCGGACTTTGAGTTGCCTTATCTAGATCTCATTATGCAGAGATTAGCGAAGCCCCCTCAAATGCCCTTTGAGTGGGTGTCTCTACAGTTTCATAGGCCTTTTGCTTGAGTGACCTTCAAGGGGCACTCTTTTTTATCCAGAACTCATGATTTTTCAACAGTTTGATAGTTACAAACATGCTTGATTAAGTCCAGGTCATTCTGACTCAATTTTATCAAATAAGGTCGTGGCCTAGATTAGTGCAATATGCTAAAATACGATTATACTCGATGACTACTTGGAACCACAATTGCATTCTCTGAAAGTCTTCTATCATGGACTATACTCTCAACCTAGACACCTTAGTCCACATTTTGTCTACGGAAATTGCAATAACATTTCATCACAAAACATATTGTAAATTGTAAAATGACTTCATTTTTCTTTTTTTCTCCTCGTGCATTGTTAGCAATCTTTTCTTTCCTACATCCTTGCTTCTTTTTCTTTTTTCACAAGAAAGATGGGACTTCCTTTTATTTTCTACCTCTGTTGTTTCCAGAAGCAAAAAGAGCAGCAAAATATTGTTTTAGATGTGTGGTAACAAGAAGTACTGACAGTCATGTCTTGCCATTTTTTCGGGTACTGTAATGAAAACGGACCTTGAAATTCCTTCTGCAAAACAAACCTGTTATTTAAACTTCAAATAGCATTCATTCTGCTTAATGTCGTAACCAGAAAAAAGAAAATATAATCACTTAACATGGGTCTACAAGCTGATTATGCAGTTACTTCTATTTCTTCGAGGATATAACTCTCGCGTGAAAATTCATCCCTCTTAATCTCATGTGCACTATTGTTTGATCTTTCTTTGTTTATCCATTATGCGCTTTACGCTCATAGTAGATAATATTTGCCTTTCTAGTCTAGTTATTAATAAGCTAATTGCATTTTCCTTTTCGGATGCTGTCAGATTGTCATGTGTGGTAGTGCCTCCCTAGAATCTTCATATGAAAAGGCTTCTAGATGTATTAATTCAGTTTTTTTGTCACTAATTTTCTTTGGCATCCAACGGGCCTTTTTAAATGATGGTGCATAATGCTAAGGGCACAAAGGGAGCTAGTAAAAGTAATTCAAAACATAATTACCAAATAAAGTATATAGCGTAACTTTAAACTTAATCTCACCTATTTTTTCAGCAAAAATTAAGATTTATTGATGTAAAAGAAAAGGTTATAAAAGTACACCGCAAATACAAAATGAAACTTAAAGCTGTTTTGGGAATAAATTAAAAAATATTACAAAAATAGTCAACTCTTTTCTTTCCGTTTTTATATGTTTTCTTATAAAAAAAAAATCAAAAATCAACTTTTCAAAACAACCCTTAATATGATTAACATTCACATTTCATTTAATTTTTGAATAAATTTTTCAAGCTTTGTAATGTTGCTATAAATGAGAATTAGTATATAGAATTAGATACAAACATGGGGTCATTTTAGGGCAACTTAGAGCTGACTCTCTTATATGTTTCATATGGGATTTTAGGAAACAAAGATTGTAAACTAATCAACTCAACATTTATATGTTGAGAAAGTAAAGCCTAATGAGTAAATGTGGAGACCTGATTAGCATTATTACCTTTATTCTTAAACATAAACAACCCCACAGAATAAGAGTTTCGACATGCACATTCTCTAGAGTTGAGCTTAATGAGTAAATGGACTAGCTAATGCCACAACAAAGCAACTTAACATACCATAAGGACTTACTAATTAGGTCCCCCACGGTAGATAATTAATAAATACTTATGGTAGTGATTTTAGCAACATAAGTACTAAACCCACCAAATAGTTTTCTAAGTAGGTAATAAGACTCTCAATGGTGTAGCTAGAAGAGTCCATGTGAGGCTAAGTAGCTAGAAACCCTTAACCAAACACAATACCATACCATAGGATGATAGGAGAGTTACATTCCAGAGCTGACAGATGCAAAGCCTAAATAGGCTGTGACTTGTTACACTGACTAACAGTGCTCTAAATATTCTGATATTTCCTCCTCCTTTTCCTCCAGTGATGTCTCCAGAAGAAAGGTTATTATCATCCCATGGAAGAGGATAAGGATATCAGAAAGAAGGGTTTTGATAGAAATCAACTCCTCCTACATCATTACCACCCATTATTCTAGTGAACTCAACTGGCCTCACCGCCTGTTGAGGTGGGTGGGCAACAACAGGCAATGCTGTCTAAATCTTGTATGCTTGGACTTACGACTCTTGCAGGTCTCCTTAGGTTGTAGGTGCTTGTTGGTTGGAGCTGCTACTTATTTCCTGTAATGAGCTTCTTTGCAGGTCTTGCTGGTACCTCTTCAGGGATGCCAAAGCAGCAGCCAATAGCAACACCACAGCAGCCAAACAGCAAGCCAAACCAACCATAGCAGCAGCCAACCAACCCCACCAAAGACAGGACATCCAAAAATAAGTATAAGGGCCAACTAAAGACCTATTTTCCTACATCCAGCAGTTAGCACATCCAGGAAATCAAGGCAAATGGGCAGCAATAATCACAAGAGGCCTTCTAGTGCTTGTCTTTTACAGAGTTCAAAAGTGTCCACATGTCACAATTTCATGCTCCTAATATGAAAGCATGCTAGCAAAATAGTGCAAGAATTTTAGTATTGAGACTCCCATCTTTCTCTTCTTAAATACATCTCA